CCGCCGTGCCGAGCCTGCGTGGACTTCAAGTCGTGGATGCGGACCCAGCAGAAGGTGCAGATACCCCGCCTGACCGCCCAGTCCCGGTCCCCCGCCCCACACCGGGTTTCCTCAGGGTTGGCTATGCCTAAACATGTCCACCCCCTCACCCACACACACCCCTAGGGTCGGACTTTGAGCCTTCAGCCACTGGCTGGCCGATCAGTTTACTAGGCTGCCAACTGTAAAGGGGAGCATTCTTGTTTCCTTTATTCTTTTGGTGATACTGGGAATCCGAACCCAAGGCCTCTGGCGTGCAACACAAGCAATCTGCCACTGGGTTGGAATTTTGTGGGCTTCTGGTTGGGGAAGAATGAACTGACCCGTAGTCGGCCTACTTCTGCAGCGGGACATCAAGTTTAGGGAGGACTGTCCGCAGGATCGGGAGGAATTGGGTCGCCACACCTGGGCTTTTCTCCACACGCTGGCCGCCTATTACCCGGACATGCCCACCCCAGAACAACAGCGAGATATGGCCCAGTTCATACATATATTTTCCAAGTTTTACCCCTGCAAGGAGTGTGCGGAAGACATAAGGAAGAGGTAAGTGTGCCTTACCTCTGCCAGTAAGGCCCTGAAAGGGGCCTGGCGGATGCCATAGAGAGGGGACTAGAAAAATAGATGCAGAGGTGACAGGTTGCTAGAAGAGGGACCACTCAAACGAATGTTGGGTCATGGGAGCCCTCTCCTTCCTCCTCAGAGCCTAGGTCTGTGAATTGTTAGCCTTAGAATTTTTAGGAAGATTAGCTAAGATTCCATGTTGCTTAACTTCTCTAATCTCTCGGTGTGGTTACCGATTTTAAAAATGGGAATGAAAGTCTGGCGTTAGTGGCCCATGCCTTTAATCCCAGCACTCTGGAGGCAGAGACAGGTGGATCTCTGTGAGTTCGAGGCCAGCCTGGTCTACAAGAGCTAGTTCCAGGACAGCCTCTAAAGCCACAGAGAAACCCTGTCTCAAAACACACACACACACACACACACACACACACAAAAAAAAAAAAAAAAAAAAAAAAAAAAACTTGGTTCACTCATTGGCTTAACTTAATCTGTTCTTTATAGGTATTTCTAGGTTGGACCTATTAGGCACTTGCACTTGCTATTTGAAGCCTGGGTAGTTAGGAATGAAGGGTATCTCTTGCTGAACTAGGCCTCTGGTGCCAAGAAACACTGTGCCAGGCCCCACCTGTCTATACTCTGCCTGGGGCTAGAGACCATGGGGTGAGGCTCCCTGATTGTTACAAGGTTGTAAAGTCGCCTGCTTTACTATAATCTTAATTCTGGGCTCTTGCCAAGTCAAGTGAGCGAGTGAGCAGCCCTGGGAGTTGCACAAGTCCAGGAAACTCCAGAGTCAACCCTGCTCTTGGCTTTCACATCCCCCTAGAGCATAGAGGCATCCCCAAGTTTAATTCAAAGCAGTGCCCCAGCTCTCTGTCCTGGGCCCTAGCAAGGACAAAGGAGTCAACATCTTATGTTCTTCCTGTGCTTCTGTCACAAAGGATAGGCAGGAACCAGCCAGACACAAGCACTCGAGTCTCCTTCAGCCAGTGGCTGTGCCGCCTGCACAATGAGGTGAATCGGAAGCTGGGCAAGCCTGATTTTGACTGTTCAAAGGTAGATGAGCGATGGCGTGACGGCTGGAAGGACGGCTCCTGTGACTAGAAGATTGTGAGCAGAGCATGTGGGACATCTAGCCAGGGTCCATGGGCAACCTGGCTGGAGGGACAGCCCGCTGATTAAAGTGCATCTGAGCCAAAGCTTGTTCCCGTGTTTGGAGAGGGGTCCCTAGGACACTGCCAATGGGAACCCTACCCACAGGGCTAAGAAGGGGAGGTGCCCAGGGACTAGAGATGAGAGAGGCTACCCTATACCCTTTATAATGCAGCCTCTTGCCCATTATACACTTGGGACATAGCTGCCCCGTAGGAAGATGGGGTGGACCATTGGCTTCCTACTGCATAACCAGGGGTGCCTACAGAACTGGCAGCTCTGTGCCATTTCAGAATTGAAGCATGGTACTGAGTTGTCTATTCTGTACTCTGTCCCCAGCTCTAGTAGGACTTTTTACTTAGGGTGTACCCACCATACTGCCCACTGCCTGTGGCACATGGTCTACAGCTATGACAACATGCCTGTCAGCAGATCCAGGATCAGATGATCCTGAACTTCTGAGAGTTTGAGACCAAAATAAAATGAAGTGACTTAGGGCCTGGTTTCTGTGTGCTTTGTACTGGGAATTACAGTGATGGACAGGCCTGCTTTTGCTTGTCTGTGATTAGTTGGGTCCTCTTGTCTGAAGTTCTGGCAGAAGTCACTATGGAGCAGCTGAGACAAGCTCTTCATGGTGAGAAAGAAGCTGAAGATGACAAGGGGGCTTCTGGATTCTGAGTGTACACCTTCTAGTTGCTGGGCTCTTCTGAATCTGCTCAGCTCCATCTGTCCTTGGGCTAGGCTCCCAACCAGAGCATCCCAGCAGCAGTGGGAGCCCCAGTTCTCAGCATAAAGATATCATTCTTTCCTGTGTTGGCCCTTTTGTGGGTGAGGACTAGCTTGCACATGACTTCCTTGTGCTGGCTACTTTTCCAGCACCCACATAGTGATTCAACCATGTGCAATTCTAGTCCCAGGGGATTCAACACCTTCTGACCTCCATGGGTACCAGGTACAAAAGCCCACACAAATACATTCAGGCCAAGCACTCTTAACATTTATTTGTTGTCCCTGTCTGCATCCACCTGCCTCTGCCTCCTGAGTGATAGGATTAAAGGCATGTGCCACCACTGCCTGGTTCAAAACACATACAAATGTCTTTACTTTTAGCCCTAGCACTGAGGACTATGGTAGTTGGATCTCTGTGTGAAGTTTGAGGCCAGCTTGGTCTATATACTGAGTTCCAGGTCAGTATGAATGACCTGAGAATGAGAGAGGGGAAACCAATAACTCAATACATGTATTTTTAAAAAATCAAAACCTTCATTTTGTCCCTGTTCACAGGGCATCCAGGAGAAGACAAGTAGAACTGTAGTTAGTGTAAAGGAAGGTTATAGTTTGAGCTGGCATTTGAGAGCTGCCAGCACATACAGAGCACGAGAGGCAACACAAAGGAATTAAGGGTGCAGCATGATGGCACACACCTTTAATCCCAACATTACATAGTGAGACCCTGTCAACCGAGGGAGAAGGGTCCCAAGGCCCCACAAGCCCACAGATCTGGCAAATGGAGGACAGAAAAGGGACTTTCAAGAAGTTCATAATGGCTAGGGATGTAGCTCAGAGGGAAATGCTTGCCTGGCATGCATAATACCCTGGGTTTTATTCCCAGCAATGGGAATGGGGCTATGAGGTAGTCATTGGAGGTATATGCTGTATGGATGAACCAGGAGAGTCAAACTTGATTCTGAAATGCAGGTGGAAGTGCCTGGCCAGATGCAGGGTAGGGGCTTGATCATACTGGGGGTTTTGATGGAAAGGGGGGGAAGGGAGAGAGATACTAGAAATAGATGGGTAATAGATAGCTTTTTTTTTTTTTTTTTTTTTTTTTTTTTTTTTTTTTTTTTTTTTGAGACAGGGTTTCTCTGTGTAGCTTTGGAGTCTATATCCTGGCACTCACTCTGGAGACCAGGCTGGCCTCAAACTCACAGAGATCCGCCTGACTTTGCCTCCCGAGTGCTAGGATTAAAGGCGTGCGCCACCAACGCCCAGCTAGATAGCTTTTTTTTTTTTTTTTTTTTTTTCCTGTACACAGAAGTGTAACCAAAAGTTTTTTGTTTGGCATTCTGCCACTGGGCTATATTCTCAGCCCAAAAGAACTGTTTTTCAAAGAATGTGCTGTATTTTTGGGTGCTGAAGAAAATTATGAAGGAAAAGGGAGAAATGGGTGGTAACATCTTCTGCCCGTGGCTAAAAGAGGATGGGATGGAATGTGATTTGAGGTATCAGAGAGTTGCCCAAACTGATGGACTGCATCTGTGTCCAACTAGGCTGAAGTGTGTTTCATACCAGAACCAGTGGGTTTCCTGAGGGACTGGACCAGGTACTTCCAGCTACACTTCCCTCTGACGAATGAACAGGTCACAGTGAAGTGCTTGGCACTGCATAGTCTTAATATGTGTAAACTTTGCTTATACCTGGCTCTGGTCCCAGGGAAGACAGAGAGACAACTAGGGGTCTCACTCATGATCTTTTACTATACCCCAGCTTCTGTTGTGACCATGAAGGTAGAGCCATTCGGTCTCCTACCATCCTGGCACTGAAAGAGCATAAAGTGGGTCTGTGGGATTCCCAGCAGGGGCCAGGGTAACTAGATAACATCTGGGACAAGATCTTATCTCTGCTACTTCTCCCCTCCTTGCACTCAGGATTAAATAGCTACAGATCAATCCTGGAGACCAGAGATGGAGAGAGTTTATGGAAGACATGACCCAGCCAGAAGAGAACAGAGATGTTCACCCTTCACTCCTGCTGGCCACAGTGGACCCTGTCTGCCTCCCAGACAAGTTCCCCTGAAGGCAGACACCACTCTTCTCACCTGACCCTGTTAGGAAGGTACAGCCTGTGAAGGAGAAGCCATAATGCAGTGGGGATGTGAGCCACAGGCAATACAAGTGTGTACAACATCTCTGAGCTGATATTTTATTCATTCACAGCCAGAGAGAGGTCAGGGTCTTCTTTCCTTAGGTGTTCTTTGATTTTCTCTCATGATTAAAGGGCTAATGAGAAAGGCCCCCAGTGATTTACCCCCGGTCTTCTAAGACTAGGGGCTGGGGGCTGGGTCTCTCTCCCTGAATACAAAGGGCATGATACTATGCCTCAGTTTCCCATTACATTCTCACCAAAAGGTCCTCCTGGTCAGAAAAGCAGGATGATGTGTTTGTCCTATCGATGCTCTTGGCCGTGGCAAGATCTGAGCTCAGTCAGTCTTTACCTTCTCTTGTCTACCTCTAAAACCCATGACTAAACCTCGTTTAGTCTTCCAGAGAATGTCCTCATCTCCGACTCTGTCATACAGGGAACGGTGAGCAGGAAGGACGGAGGGCAGGGCTCAGGCCCCCAG